ATATATATATATATATATATATATATATATATATATATATATATATATATATATATATGTATATATGTTTTCAATAAGTCTTGAAAAGTTCAAGTGACTTATGTGGTTCTCAGACTTAAGTGTTTCGCATCTAAACTCTCATATGAAACAGATGTTTGATAATCAATGTTTTATCAAACATCTGTCTCTGGTGAGCGTTTCGGCGCGAAAGCCTCGAATCGTCTCATCAGATAAATTACTTGAGCCTTTCTTGTTTTATTGAATATTTTTATAGCTTTAGTTTTCAGTTGAAGCCTTTTAGGTTAAAGTTCTGCTACCTTGAACCAACATGTTAAATCCTTGTTATTTTCGCGTATTTTTTACCAGTTATATTATTATCAATATTATTATTATTATCATTATTATTATTAATTGTGCATAATAAAATTCAAAAATAGCAAATATTGATTTTCAAAGCACAACTTAGTTTTGGCACGAGAACAAGGATAACCCAATGAGGATCGAACTCACTACTCACTTACAATTGGTATCGCGTGACAAGCTTGCTAACCATTGCACCACGTCTTTCAGATAAACGTAAAATATATGTTAGTCATACGTGCACGTGCAAACACACAGCCACACACACATACGCTAAAACACACACATACATACGCTAAAACACACACACACATACACACGAGTCTAAGTATAACGAAAATGTTCATACATACCACCAATGAGGATGAACGAGGATGATGTCGTGTGAGCACCGTACCTTGAAAAACTGGTGGGCCTCAAACTCACATCCAACCCGAAGTGGAACTCGTACGTACGATCCATTACTAAGGATGGAGGTAAAATGGTCGGCTACTTGTACCGTACCAGTAAGTACCTACCACCTCGTACTATTCTCTACCTTTACAAGAGCCAGATCACTCTAAAATGGAGTACTGATGTCATATTTGGGCGGGAGATGAACAGACTTCATTCTCCAGCTTTGATAGAGTTCAAAGGTGTCTCCGAGACTCCGTGGGTGACAGATTATTTCCCACCTTTCAACCTCACTCCGACAGTTAGCTCTATTTCCACGGAGAGTGCTCGGACGAAATGCATTCCCGTCCTGCCAAAACAAACCTTCATAGCAAGAACATGTCATGCCTGTTGCATAGAAGAAACCAACCACATTCCCTCCGTATTGCATCCGTGAGAGGTAAGATCTACTCAAGCAGCTTCTTCCCGCGAAACCGTTACTTGTGGAACAGATTCTTAAGAGGATGTTTTCCCGATGACTACAATATTAGACTTTACAATGTTAGGGTTAACGGTTATCTTCCACAGGTATACACACAAAGGGCCTTCTAATGTAACACTGTACCTCGAAAGGCCCCTGGGCCTTGTAAATGGTAAACTTTACTGTCTGAAAAAATGGACGCACGTACACACACACACCACTAGTTTATTTTGCGTGCGTGAATATATATATATATATATATATATATATATATATATATATATATATATATATATATATATATATATATATATATATATATATATATTAAAAAGAAGAGGGTGCCGCAAACGTTTTTGGTTGTAATGTGGATTTATTGAGAAAAAAAATATTATACTTTGTTTTACATAATTTCACGACACGTGTTTCTGGTCTGGTCTCGCAACCGTCTTCAGGTGAAAGTGGAGATTTTTACATATTATTAAAAATAATTAATTTTTCTTCATGTTCAATGTGGAATATTCTCGATATGAGACATTCTGTTTGTGTGTTGGCAATCCGAATTTTCTTTCTAGAATTATATATATATATATATATATATATATATATATATATATAGAATATATATATATATATATATATATATATATATATATATATATATATATAGAATTATATATATATATATATATATATATATATATATATATATATATATATATATGTATGTATGTATGTATGTATGTAGATATATAAATCTGTAATTGACATTCTAGACGCATGTGAATTCTCGAAATTCACGCCACGCCAGGGTCCCCTGCACCACAGTTTCAGAACTGATATAATTACATCGAACACACATGACAACTCCATCAATCAAATGTAAAACATTCAAATCAAAAACATACGGATATATATATATATATATATATATATATATATATATATATATATATATATGGGGGTATTTGTGCAAGCGCGTATTTGTGTGTGTGTGTTTTTCTCTCTCTACTCTCTCTCTCTCTCTCTCTCTCTCTCTCTATATATATATATATATATATATATAGTTATGCATAAAATGTCAAATCATGAATATATGTGTGAAGTTTAATAAAATAAGAAATCTTAACTTTTAAATGACAAAAAATCAATATCCGTCTCGTTATTATATTAAGTTCTTATTTACATTGTTTCGATATATGTTTCTATTTATTCCTTGCTTTTTTCTACCACTATATATATATATATATATATATATATATATATATATATATATATATATATATATATATATACGTTCCCATCATATATATTCTATTATACTATGCTTAAGATCATCTGCAATGAACGATATGTCAGGAAGCTAACGCAATCTGTTTCATTCCATAGAAAGGCTATTCGTGGGATATCTAGGTCATAGTCACGTACAATGGCGTCTCCAGTTTAACACACAGGTAGGTAAGATAAGGCTTTAGTAAAGATGAGTTGTCCTCAGCGTGATGTCTATACCACCCCCTTCATTGATCGATGACGGTAGTGAAAGATTCCGGACTGATGTCTTATTCATGACCAGAGATGTGCTAACTGGTTATCTTGATGAACTAAGAATATATTTCTTTATACGATACGGCACGCATCTGTTAAGTAATTCCGATCAAATTATACAGGTGTTAAAATGAACAATGATAGTTTTTTTTTTGACCAGAAAAACAAGCGAACATCAAGGGATGAACTGAAAAGTCAGTAACTGTAACGCAAACACCATAAAAAAAACGTGGGTACCAAGGATTTTACTTTCTGAAAATTACTGGGCATGCCGAGAGCAGGGTTCGAATTCCATTCGAGTTCATTTCATTTACTTACGTGCTAATACCATTGGGAAACGTATGAATCTTCTTCTCTCCCCAGTTATGGGTAAATAGAAGGATAGACCGGGTACTATAGCCTTGGCTGGCAACTGGTCTACCGCAGAAAGTAATGGCAATCTACTGTGTAAAAAATCTGCCTTGTCAGTCATCTATCAAAAGATACATGATCGTCTAAGCTTGTATCAAGCATGGCACATAACTGAACTGATTGTGTGCTATAAAGTTTATTGAACGTTAGTTAAAACCATCCCTATATTAGTATTCAGTTACGAAACCACATATATAGAGAGAGAGGGGTAGAGAGACAGACAGACAGAGAGTTAGTCCGAGAGAGAGGGAAAGAAAAAAAGAAAGAGAAGGAGTGAGAAAGTGAAAAAAAAGAAAGAAAGAAAGAAAGAAAGAAAGAAAGAAGCGAAGGGCTACTAGAAAATTACCGACATAACCTATTCCTTAATTTTAACCGAATGACCAAATAATAAATTTTATTTGAAACTAATTGGTCGGATCAGGCACTTTCATCAGTCTTCATTCTCTATTTCTATTTCTCTCTCTCTCTCTCTCTCTCTCATACACACACACACACACACACATACACACACACGAACGCAAACACACACACACACATATATGTGTGTGTAGTACAGGTAATCGATCCGTTGGTATAAAATCCAGGTGGCTCCTAGTAATATTAATTATCAAAACTAATCGACAGAGAGCTCAATGTATTTATTATAACAGAGCATATGTATTTTTTACAGCAAAAGACAAAAAATTTCTTGAACATAGAATCCGTTCTGTACGCGGATATCATCATCTATGTTAAGGTAATTTTTTTTTCTATAAGATATATATATATATATATATATATATATATATATATATATATATATATATATATATCGAGAGAGAAAGAGGGAGTGAAATGTATTTTCGAATGAAAGAACGAAAATTTTGCCTAAATGTCGATATATAAGCAAAAATACTCTCGGACTGTACGATCCCGGGTGAAGGAAAGTAATTTTTTTCTTCTTCTTCTTCGCTTACACTTTTTCTCCTTCTTAACTTCCAGTACCATTATATTTAACGCCCCCCCCCCCCCACGTGGACCGTATGTGGCACAAGGCCGAGTTTATCGTTGGTTCTCCGAGCCCGTAGGCTCGGCCAAAACTAGTCCCTTCGAACTCGTATAAACGGGTTCAGGGCCTGTCTAACTCCCCGGACGAAACTTTGCCCTTCGACAAAGCCTCGTCTGGGTTACTCTCCGCCTCGGCGGAGAGTGTGACAGCCGAAAGGTGACATAGCATGATATCAGTGTGATGTGTTTGAGGAACACTTGTTACTCAACCTCCTGAAGAAACTTAGCGGTCGAAACCACGGCATTTATTTTTCAAGATTTCATTGTTTTATTATTTCTATATTTCGTATCATTCTTTTACAGGATATTTAAGTATAAATTCTTCATTTTCATAACCCATTGACATAGAGTTTTTGCTTTAGTGCTATGTTAATTTCATCTATTTTAAATGTGGTTTGTTCACATGCCATGTTGATTATATTTTAAAGTATAGCGTCTTGATGTCTTTTTGTAGTTATGTTATATATGTATAGTATATTTTTCCAGAAATTTGATGATGTTGACTTGTTAGCAATAATTAATACTTAATCATATATATATATATATATATATATATATATATATATATATATATATATTGTACTCTTGGCCAAATATCCCTCTTTTATACAAGTTTGATTGAATAGGACTGATGAGGTTCTGCGATTAAGCTTGTTATTCCATTTTCTTGTATTCTTTCTATATATTCGAGCGCTCTCGCCTATTCTATTAGCATTTATCAAGCATTGATTTGTTTATTTTTAACTTATGTCATTAAAGACAACTGACAAGGCATTACGATTAGGATTTTCATTCTTATTTTTATCTATCTATCTATCTATCTCTCTATCTATCTATCTATCTATCTATCTATCTATCTATCGACTCCTGGTCTGTACAAATGCCACCTGTTTTAGAACATCGATTCGTTACTTATTTCTTAGTATTTCAATATGTACTGAAATAGGACGAAAGAAAAAAGATCGATAAGATAATTTACTTTTAATGAACAAACAAAAGAACATACACGAGCAGTAATCATATCATGAGATATTTAGCCATTGTGGAAACGATTTACGAAGTTGTTTATAATGTTTTTATATGGTACAGGCATTGAATATTATATTGATTTATTGATGCCATGAATTTTTGACAACGGATTGAGGTCACCTAGATTATTCTTGTAATTCAGCCATTGAAAATTTTGTCCCAAAAGAATGTTCCAGTCACTAAATTTGTTTTAATCTCTACGAGGTGCATTCCAAAATTTTTGAGAAATTTTTGGAGAGGCAATTATAACTTTCTTAAAATATTTTATTTTAATATATAATTACTATACATCTAATAAGCTGACTTGCTAAATTTTTTGATTCCAGATTGAAGAAGATTGTTTTAAAAGCTATTTGAATACACCTTACTAAATACTGCTTGTCACAGTGGACAGGTTTGCAGAATGCACTCAGGACGTGAAGACAATTTGTAGGCTAAGCTATGTAATAAAGTTTTCTGTTAAACTGGGCAAAAATTCTAGGAGAAACGTATGAAATGCTCCAGACTGCTTATGGATTAACTTGTATGAACCAAGCATCTGATTCCCGCTTGCAAAAGTGGTTCCACGATGGTGTAGAACATATCAGAGACGAGGATCGATATGGCAGGAAGACAATGTGGACGTTGACATCAGACACCCAGAGATAGTTGAGAAAATTCCCAATTTTCTGGATGAAGATCATCATGCGTCTCCAAAGACAATAAGCGCAGAGTTTGGAGTTGGTGAGGAAACTCTACATAGAATTATTCATGAAGCCATGAACTTGCACCAAATTTGTGCACAGCTTGTTCCCGGGGTGCTCTTTGACGAATAAAAGAAAAGGCGCGTTTGATGATCATCAAATATCCCTCACCCTCTCTACAGTTTAGACCTTGTTCCATGTGACTTTTCGTTGTCTCTCATGCTGAAGATGAATCTCAGTGAAGATGAAATGGCTACGGCAAGAGTCCTGGACAGCTTCACTTTGGATGACTTGCTTTTTGGCTTTCCCTCGTATATATGGTAAAAGAAAATATAAATATATACTGTTCTTGTCTTTCTAATCATCTCGCAATTCTCTCATATCTCTTCAGTCCTTACTTTCTCCTCTTTTATTCCTTTTTTATACTGCTCTCGTCTTTCTATCTAATAATTCAGTCTTTTTCTTCAGTCCTTACTTTCTCTTATATTTCCTTTTATACTGCTCTCGTCTTTCTATCTAATAATTCAGTCTTTCTCATCAGTCCTTACTCTCACATCTCTTCAGTCCTTACTTTCTCTTCTTTTATTCCTTTTTTATACTGCCCTCTTCTTTCTATCTAACAGTTCAGTCTTTCTCTTCAGTCCTTACTTTCTATTCTATTTCCTTTTTATACTGCTCTCGTCTTTCTATCTAATAATTCAGTCTTTCTCTCCAATACTTACTCTATCCTCTTCTATTCCCTTTTTATACTGCTCTCGTCTTTCTGTCTAATAATTCAGTCTTTTTCCCCAATACTTACTCTATCCTCTTCTATTCCCTTTTTATACTGCTCTCGTCTTTCTATCTAATAATTCAGTCTTTCTCTCCAATACTTTATCCTTTTCTATTCCCTTTTTATACTGCCCTCGTCTTTCTATCTAACAATTCAATCTTTCTCTTCAGTCCTTACTTTCTCCTCTTCTATTTCCTTTTTATACTGTTCTCTTATTTCTATCTACCAATCCAGGTTTTCTCATCTTTGATTCATTCACTCACATCTTAACTTTTTTGCTACTTCCTTCTCTGTTTTTCTACAACACTCTTCAGTCTATCGCTATCATTTTTTCACTCTGACCCGGGTCAGGACGTAAAGTGAATCTAATATTCAAACATCGGATCACGAATCGGTGAATAAGTAAAAGGATGTCCACGTCTCCGGTCGGTATGAAGACAACTCTGCTCGCTTCCCGCACAATTCTACAGCGGCGAGTCGGCGGCTTTTTACGAGGATCAATGAATAAATTAAGAAGGAACGCGTAGTGCGCTGACAACCATTTTCATCGTCATCATCACCCTCAGACTACTGCCTGTTGAATCGTAAACGAGTCTTTTCAATAAATTACAAAGAGTTCGAGTTGAGGCAGTACGAGACATAGAAAAAAGATGTTTGTTCAAAAGGGTGGTGGCTTTATGAATAGAAGAAATTCGGGAAGAGAAAAAATTACGAAAAAAAAAAAAAAAAAAAAATGAGGAAGAGAGAAAGTGATAGAATAGGAATATGAGTATTAATAAAATTATATATATATATATATATATATATATATATATATATATATATATATATATATATATACCAGGATATCGCCAGGGAAATCAAAAACTGTGGAAAGTAAAGATCATGAAAATTCATGAATAATAATAATAATAGCAATAATAATAATAATAATAACAATAATAATAATAATAATAACCAGCAGCATGGCCCGGCGTTGCCCGTGCTTGATTCAAAAATCGTACGACTCATACAGCAATCGCTATCACTTGACTTAAAATATTTTTGCCCTTCCTTGCCTTTAAAGGAGTGCCCTTTTCCGTGCTGATGTTGCTACATGCCTTACTTCTTGCCTATCTCACACTGTGGATTTTTTCTAAGCTCTATACTAAACATTAAATCTGTTACGAAAAAAGAACTAAACAAAATGAACACAAAACGATCAGCTTTAAAAAAGGACTCGTAACTGGAAAAATCGAATGAAAAAAGAATGTTAACAACAAATACTTTTTCAAATATAACCCAGTTCTGCGGAATCAGAATCAACGTTGAGTTTAAGCAAGCGAATGAGCCAATTGGAGTAAAGTGCCATGCAGATTTAAATTTTTCCCACTTGTGATGAATGCAGCTATCAATTTATTTTGCATGCTAGCATGCTAGTTAACATTCGTGTCAGTCAGCTGTTGGCTCTCACGCTCGCCAACAGAATCTTCCTGCCTATTCGTGGCAGCCAGCTATTGGCTCTCACTCTGGCCAGTACAAAATGGCCGCAAACTACACGAAAAGTGCAGTAGAAGCATGAAAAATCGATTATCGATGGGAGTTGGAAAATGCAATGTCGGTCTTAGCATTCCCGCTAAATTGGAGCATGTGTATGCAAATTTTGGTGCAAATCCGTCGAAAATTGCGGCCGTGCATTCGTTACACACACACACACACACACACACACACACACACACACACACACACAACATGTCCTTTATAGATAGAAATAATAATAATAATAATAATAATAATAATAATAATAGGCCAAAAAGTTCGAAATGGAGGTTCAAGTCGGTGAAGAAATGCAAGTAACAAATGATATTCCTACTGAAGCTGGAAAAAATCTTAAAAAAGAAAACAAAGGCAAATCCAATCGACCAGACACAGGGAAGATGACAGGTTAAACATCTCCATGGTCAATATTCCGCCCGTACCAAACAAGCTGATGTAGACAAACCCCGCATCCATCAGTGGCTACGTAATGCAGGGTCAAAGGCTGAAACAGAAGGTTCTATTCTTTCTGCACATGACCGTCGTTTGCTAACAAGAAATTACCAAGTTCACATACTGAAGATATTGTGTTAGACCAAAATGCAGATTCTGTGACAAATATCTGGAAACAAATGACCATCTTGCATCATGTCGCACGGTATTGGCACCCACTGAATGGCATAACAGAGTCGGCCAATAGCTGAAAAGGAAAATCCGAAACTTTAACGGAAAGGAAACTGTAAGAAAATTGTATAAACATCAACCAGACCCAGTTAGGTTTGTAGGTTCTGTAACAATTTTATGGAAATTTACAATACACACAGACAAAACAGCCAAAGCTAATCGCCCAGACAATGTGATCAGAGACTGCAAAAAAAAAACAAAAAACAATGTGCCTTCTTACTGAGATAACAGTCCCTGCAGAATGTAACATATCTTTGGAGATCTTTAAAGAAGCTATCAAAATACAAGGTCCTTGAAATCGAAATATAAAAAAAATGTGGCATATGAGGATATCAACAACTCCGGTCGTAGTTGGAGCCCACGGATAGATTGGAAAATATTCCAATAGTTTCATTGAATCCTGGTATCCCATGCCTAAAAGAAATATCAAAATTGTACTCACAAGTAGAGACCACACCTTACGAAGGGCTTTATCTATGTAAAATATATGCGATCTTAGGTGTTTCTTTTTTCTTTCCCCTCAAAAAAGCCCAGAGAAAAAAATGTTATGGTGCCATTTCTGACCTTAGGTCTCTGGTTTGTACCCGGAAATAAATGAGTATACACCAGATATCAAATAATAAGTATTATTATTATTATTATTAATAATAATAATAATAATAATAATAATAATAATAATAATAATAATAATCCGGCATGACAGAATGGGCCAATATCTGCACTGGAAAATCTGCAACTTCTACGGGAAGGAAACTGAAAGAAACTGGTATGAACACCACCCAGACCCGGTTACGGAGATAGGACATATTACAATTCTATGGGACTACACAATACACACTGGCAGAACAATCAAGGCCAACCGGCCAGACATTCTTATTAAAGATTACAAACAAAAAAGTGCCTCCTTATTAATATAGTAGTCCCTGTAGACTGCAATGTATCTTTGAAAATATTCAAAAAGCTGTCAAAATACAAGGACCTTGAAATAGAATTCTCAAAAATGTGACACATGGGAATATCAACAAACCCTGTTATAGATGGAGCCCTAGGATTGGTTGGAAAAGATTCCAGTAGACTAATTGAAGGGATTCTTGGAAGTCCTTGCCTCAAAGAAATACAAAAATTGTTCTCACAAGGACAGCCCACATTTTACGAAGTGCTTTTTCTATGTAAAATATCTTTCTTTTTTTTTTTTTGTCAGTGGAAAGTGTCATGATGACATTTCTAATCTTAGGCGTCTGGGAGGGGACCCGGAAAGAAATGTGTACACGCCAGAAATCAAAGCAAACAACAACAACAACAACAACAACAATAATAATAATAATAATAATAATAATAAATAGATAAAATCGAAATAGAAAAATATGTAGAACTTGAAAAGAAGAATAGTAGGTATGTTTGGAATGATAAAAAAAAAGGAACACAACACATTGAAAAATCTCTGGAAATCCCAATCTCAGTGAAAAAATGCCTTGGTATGTACAGTCTACACACTAAGAAGAAATTGGTCCATGTAACGCTAGTGATGTTATGGGAGTTAGAAACAAATCATGAAATGTAACCATAATAACACACCACTACTTGACTTAGGTCTTTCCGCAGATTTGCTAAGTAGTGTGACCATAGCAGAAATCGAAATTTATGGTGATTATGATTATAATAAAAATTGTTATTATTATTGTTACAGTTAATAATAATAATAATAATAACAACAGCAAACTAAGAGGACAAGGCGTTGTATGGCAAATACATGAAAAGAATGAAAGAAGTAGATGTGAACCAAGAGAAAACACATTAGTGGCTGAGGAGTACCGGTTTGGAAGCTAAGACAGAAGGCCTAATAATTACAGTTCAGGACCAAAGCCTCGCAAACACTGTCACATAATCAAGGGTGAAACTAACCCGAAATGCAGGATCTGCGAAAAATGTGATGAAACTGTCGACTATATTATCAGAGGATGTCCGGAACTAGCCAAAAATTAATATACTCACAGACATAACAAGATATGTGCTCTGGAAGATATGCAAGAAACACGAAATGGAAACGACTGAAAATGGTACGAGTACCAACAGAGAGAGTTACCCAAAATAACGATGTAAGTATCCTCTGGGACATGCTAATTAAATCCGACAGGGAAATAAAAACCCACAGACTTGATATTATCATAAAAGATAAGAAATTCAGGAAAGGTATGTTTATTGACACAGCAGTGCCATCTGAAAGAAATACCTCCATGAAAATTATCGAGAAATTGTCCAAATACAAGGACCTGGAGATCGGGATGAATAGAATGTGGGGAATGAAGACTGAGACTGTAGCAATATTAATCGGAGATCTGGGCTTCGTAAGAAAAGAAATGGACAGTGTCCCAGGTAACATCAACATAAAAGTTGCCCAGAAAATCGCCCTACTAAGAACATTCTATATACTAAGAAAAGTGCTATCAATTAAATGACAATTCTATAGGGCCTAAGGATCATAGTCTGGACCCGGCTCTACAGGATACAAATCAGGAAACATAACATGCACAAATATTACTACTACTACTACTACTACTACTAATAATAATAATAATAATAATAATAATAATCAATTACTCTATTGATAAAACACGAAAAAGCTTTATGAAAGGGTTGTTTTGTTTGTTGATTTTGTTTAGCAGGATACCAACCATTATGGGTTATTAAATATCGAAATCTAAATATTTTGAACACAATTTTACGGGTTCAACTAAATATATTTTGTGAGCCTTCAATTATAGTATGCTTTCAATTACAGAGAAAATTGCAATTCTACTATATAATGTATTGTTGGCTGTTTTGCTTAAAAATGTACTGTTGGTCGTTTTACTATAAATAGGAATTGTAGGTAATTTTATTATATAAAAATTTATTCATAGTATTTTTAATATAAAAAATGTATTTTTATACACTCATAGTGTTTTATTTTTGTTTGGCTGTTCACTATCTGCACATAGCTGGTACCCTAACAGGTGCTACCACTCCTGGTCAGGGTGGACCTGGGAACAACAGCAATTAAGATATAGTTTCACTTACCTCATAACCTCCAG